AAGTTATTATGTTAAATTGATTTGAGAATAAAATTTTTTATCAAACTAAAAGAGAAAAAACATATATGGTACTGCCATAATCAAACTAACCTAGTGGAATTGCCTTTTTAAATAATAAAAAAAAAACTGATCAGAGTATATTCTAATGTAGATTATCTAACTTATATCAAAATTGTTTTTTTTTTCTAATTATGTTTTCCGTCTTCACAGCATTCAAATTGACAAAAAATAAATAAATAAATAAAATTTATTTATGTAATTGAATGGACGTAGTGTGTAGCCAAGTCCAAAAGATTTGAATCTAAAATTTAATCAAATCTACATGCATTTGGGTTAGATTTTTAACTAAATCTGAAAAAATTAGATTTAGTATATTATCAAACTCATTATTGTTTTGACTTATTATGTAATTAAATCTAAAAAAATTAAATTTAATATTTTATTAAATTTATATATGATTGGGTTTATTATGCATTGATTTAGGTATTGAATCTTACAAGTTTTATAAGTTCAAAGATGATAGGTTTTTCATCATGCTAAATTCATAAGCGTTTGACCTTCACACATTACCAAGCTCTACAGTGTTGTGTCTGGAAATAAAACTAGGCATGGTGTCTCGTCTAGGCTAGGTATTTTTGTTAATTTTATCCATGTTAGATCATGTATTCATTGAACTCTTAAATTAATGAGTTGTATATAAAATATGTTTACAGTTCACGTACCATGTTTTTCATGTCTTCTTTCTATACCAGCATTTCAAGAAAAAAATGTTTTATTTGATGTTTCATGGTATAAAAGACCGTGAAGTTTTCTCATTTACTTCTGGAATGATACAAAAATGGGTCAAAAGTCTGGTTGTCGTGCTATTATATAAAATGGCGTGTCCAGAAGGTTCCTCTTGAAACGACGAAGAGAAGAACAAAACCTCCCCGAGTCTTTCGCGCCCATATATATATATATATATATACAGGCATCGTACAGTGAGATCCCATGTGGCCATGTACTCTTCTATTTTACTGTCTCTGCACTGCTTCTTGCGCTGCTGAGACTTGCTGTCACTTACTTGTCTGAACATTAAAAAATGACACTTTTTTTTTTCTTAACATCAACGAACATGAAAAATAGGAATTCATGCACCTCTTCACATTGATATAGAGAAGAGAATTGGGGAATTCGTGATTCCGGTGGATGTATATTATACTATTATATAAAATCAAAGGATCAAGATATAAATACACAAAAAAACAGGGGCATCCAAGCAAACCAACAGTACACCGTATTTATCTATAGCCATAGACATAGGCCATAGGGCTCCCATTATTATTAACATATCTGTACACGATGTTGCCCCTCAAAACATGGGGTGATTGAGGAAATGCAACCCCGAAGTTTTTTTTTGTTTTCTTTATTTTTACTCCCATTTCCATTTATTGCAAGAAGCGAAATGAAGTAGTAGTGGTTACTGTATTCAAGGGGACCATTCCAGGGGTTTGCCATTACTTCCTTTTATGCAAAGAACCCTTTAGAATCCCAAACCCTTCCTTTTACATATTTAGCAGAGAGAGAAAGAGAGGGAGGGAGGTAGAGATGGGCAGGCCAAGGTGTTTTTTAGACATAAGCATCGGAGGGGAGTTAGAAGGAAGGATAGTAGTAGAGCTCTACAACGATGTCGTTCCTAAAACTGCTGAGAATTTTAGAGCTCTCTGCACTGGTGAGAAAGGCATTGGACCTAACACCGGTGTCCCTCTTCACTACAAGGTCTTTTAATTAGTAATTTTCTTTGTGTGTATTCATGTGTTTGTGGGTTCAAGTTGGTTTTTTTGGTTAATGACGGACTTTTGGGAATTTTGAGGGTACTAAAGTCTTTTATTTTAGGATATTGTTAGTGTTATGGTATTTGACTGTGATGATTGTTTCGCTTTTGTATTTTTGGTTATCGATGCTATGTTCTAAAAACGAAACCTTTTCGGGCTTTTGTCAGTGAGACTTGAGAAGGAAAACGATTTTCTGGGTAGAAATCAGGTTTTCAGTTCATGATGAAAAGTCAGTGATGTCCTTGATTATTTAGAGTAGTAGTCGTGAATTTTCTTGATTATAAAGAATGATTCTTTCCCAATACTTTGAGATATCTGCAGCAATAATGGTTCTTGTTTTGGACCACTGGAAAAGCCATCACAGGCAGTCTCTACTTGCTTGTCTTTTTGTTATTGAGCTCCAGGTTGAGGTTGTTTCGTTCTTTGGCGATAAATAAAGTATCTCTGCTTTGGTATTGATATCTTATCATTTTTATTCATTATTCTGGACCAATATTTCTAGGCAATCTATAGGCTTGAATTTTATTGACTGCTAATTGCATTTGACGTGATTTCTTTTGTGCACAGCTTTGGCTATAAAGGCTGACGAGAAGGAAATTTTAAGCTTTTTCAGTTGATTTTATATGTGTTTTTTGGGATACCAGGGATGCCGTTTTCATCGTGTTATCAAAGGTTTTATGGTTCAAGGAGGAGATATCTCTGCAGGAGATGGCACTGGCGGGGAATCTATTTATGGCTTGAAGTTCGAGGATGAGAATTTTGAACTGAAACATGAAAGGAAAGGAATGTTATCTATGGCAAATGCTGGTCCAAACACAAATGGTTCGCAGTTCTTTATCACGACAACTCGCACCTCTCATTTGGATGGAAAACATGTTGTATTTGGGAAGGTGGTTAAAGGAATTGGAGTTGTTCGTTCTATTGAGCATGTTACAACTGGTGATGCTGAGTGTCCCACTTCTGATGTTATGATCGTCGATTGTGGAGAAATTCCTGCGGGTACAGATGACGGGACATGTAATTTCTTCAAGGATGGTGATGCTTATCCTGATTGGCCAGCTGACCTTTATCAGAGTCCTAGCGAACTTTCATGGTGGATGAATGCTGTAGATTGTATTAAGGCTTTTGGAAATGAACATTTCAAGGTAATGGTTCTCATGTTTGGCTGATGTTCTTGTTGCTCCAAAGGCACATTGGTGAAACTTATTGTTAAAGCATACATCAGTACCCAGAATAGTTAAAAGTATGCTTTGTTGGGGTGTGAATAGTTTAGGTGAACCAATTTTTTCAAGCTTTGATATTCTCTATGGTCTATGGGCGCTTTTGTTTTTCTTTATTCTTTTCTTCTATAGCTTGTGTTGATGTCCCAATTTGTAATTATTGATCGCAGAAACAAGACTATAAGATGGCGCTAAGAAAGTATCGGAAGGCTTTACGCTATCTGGATATCTGTTGGGAGAAAGAAGGGATTGACGAAGGTGAACAATCTATGTGCTCCATATAATTCCTAGTTACTTTTTATCTTGATGTCCTCAATGCAATGCTAATGGCTCCCTGTGCCCCAATTGCATGTGATTTATTTGAACATTTTTCTTCTGGTGGCTTTTCAGAGAAGAGTTCAGCTTTGAGGAAGACAAAGTCACAGACATTCACAAACAGTGCAGTAAGTTCCTGTTCTCACTATTGTCAGGGTATTTTTACTGCCACTGGCTACTGAAGCTTTTGATCTTTTGTGCAGGCATCTAGGTTAAAATTGGGGGATCTGAAAGGAGCACTGGTGGACACAGACCTTGCAATACGTGATTGGGAAAACAATGCAAAAGCTCTGTTTCGCCAGGGACAGGTTAGTGTCTGCAATTGGGAATGCTTTCAATCTCTAGAATCATGGGAGCTTTTGCACATGTTTGGTGTGAGCCAGTCCATCTGTTCTAGAAAGGTTCTTTCTGAGTTGTAGTTCTGAATCTTCTGATAGCTTCTTGCAAGCTGCTTTTGCTTCCCCACCATCCATTTGGAATGTGGAAGACTTGCTTAGAATTCTTCCAGTTATTTTCTTGTGTGTAATATTTTGCGTCTATTCCACTGAAATGTGGTGCTTAGGCATTCTGAATGGGGAGAGCAGTAGGTTGCTTTTCCTTCTCATATTTTTTACTTTTCCGTTTTGGTTTCGACTTTGTTAAGAATTTGCTTTCATATTTTGGTGGTGCACTTTTTTCCTTTGATTTGTTTAAATTTTAATGGTTGAGAAGGTACCTTCACAGTTCTCGTACTAACAGTTTCTTTTCCTTTGTGTTTGTCAGGCATACAAGGCTCTTAATGATGTTGATGCTGCTGCTGAAAGCTTCAAAAAGGCATTGCACTTGGAGCCAAATGATGGTTAGTGATAATCTGAAACAGGGCCAATGGCACATAATCCTGGGGATAGAATTTTTGTTCAGACTTTTGCTCTCTGATAAGATCTACAAGTTCCAGTGATTATGTTAAAGCTTGATTAAATCAAATTTATTCACTTGAATAAATTCTAGGAGTCTTGGACCTGTTATTTTACAAATAATCTGTTGAGATTTGCTGACAGCTTTGGTTTCTAATGCTTTTCAGCTGGAATAAAACGGGAGCTTAATGCTGCTAGGAAGAAGGTCGGTACAATTAACAGAATCTGTAATAAATGGCTGTAGTCAGCAGGGTGCTAAACAATTAATGTCTTGCAGGTTAACGAGAGACGTGATCAGGAGAGAAGGCGATATGAGAAGATGTTCGAAACTTCAAATAGCACTGCTGTAGAACCCTAGCAAATTGGTATGCGGATTACCCTTTGGAAACTCTTGTCATTTGATCATCGGGCAATGCAAACTGAGAATATTTTGAAAAACAGGATGCGAATTCCTTGCATTACAAAAGCCTTTCAGGTTTTGTCAGAGAACAAAGGAGCCTTTATCAAAGGCAACTGTACAAGTTTGAGGCTTGAACCATTTCTTATTACAGTTTCCATGGAAATTTTTGAAACTTAGAGCCAATTAAAAATAATGATTTACTCTCTGATGGACATAAAATGTGGTCATGTTGTGTGGTTCTTTTATGGAATAGACCTCTTTCCATGCCCTTTCGCTCCACCTCATTTTCGTTTCTATCCTGAACTCGGTATATCAAACTACTGTAGCCAACGCTCGCCTCCCTGGTCAGCTTTACTGTGTTCAGCCCCATTTTAAACGAGGTCCTTGAAGATTGCTGGCTATGAGCTAAAGAACAAGCTGGAAAATCCCGTATGAAGAGAAATGGGCATTGTACCCGTTCCAAAACGAAGGGCAACATGGTGGGTGGTTCATGAAAACTGCACTGACCACATAGGTCATCGGCCCGATACTGGTCCGAAGACATTCTTTAGACCTTTTCACTCTGAAGTCCATATATAATAAGTGCTAGTCAGACTCGAGCCCAAAATATTTTGACGATCGCAGAGTCGCAAACTTGCCCCTCAATCGAGGGATACAGATGAAAGCAAAATAAAGATGTTAGCTCGTAAAGGGGAAGAAGTGAGCATAAAATATTACATGTTTCTACGTTTTAGGAAGATAATATTAGAGAGAGACTTAGCCCTAGACTCCTGGGTGCGAAATCTTTCTTTCCTTGTAGTTTACAGAAATGGATGAAAAAATATTATGGAATCAATGTCTATACCAATCTATATTTGCATGTACCATTTGAGTAGAAAATTACCATACAAGAAATAGACTAAAAAGGAAAAGGTATTAAGTGAGAATATTTGCCGAGAATTTGAAGGCTGGAATGTAGTCCATAAAATAACTATGAGAATTCTGTTACGAGTGTTAATGGGAGAAGAACAGAATCTTATATTATCTTTATAATATCACCTAAAGGCATCATTCATCTTTTCATCTTCTTGAAGAATAGCAGAGATGAGGAGAAGAAAGGACTGCTCTCTTCTTTAGAAGTTTCGATGGCAGAAAACCTTGCGCCTCTTCAGGTAATTTGTCTACATATACACGCATACATTCAGTATTCGACTTGAGCTTTACAGGTCTTTTCTTCTCCCTCTCTGTTTTTTATTTTTTTTATTTTTTTTTCAGGCTTGTATTCTGAGAGTGGATGTCTGCCGTTGTTCCAAGTGTTCTACAAAAGTGAAGAAAAGGTTGCAAAAAATAAATGGTAAAAATAGTAATGGTATCGACTCTGCATCAATTTATGCCCTGTTTATATAACAAGAATTGATGAGATTTCTGATTTCGTTTATTATTTTGTTGCCTAGGAGTTAATTTCGTCGACATAAACACAAAAAAGGGATTGGTAATGGTTTCTGGCTTGGTAGATCCGTCAACACTCCAAAAGGCCATAGCAAAGACAGGGAGGAAAGCAGAGGTATTGGCATATGAAAAGGATCCCATACAAGCCAAAAGGAAACTTGATCAGTTCATTAGGAACATGCAGAAAGAGCATAACATTCGTGAAGAGGAGAATTGTTGCTGCTGTAAGGAGCCTAAGGGTGATGAAAAACCTGTAGCTAAGGTGCATGAGCATGAGGCGATTTCTTTGCCTTCTCAGCCATACTATGGAATGGGAAGTAATACGGCACCTCCTGCTTGGTATGGGCAGAGAAGTGATGATCCAATATTTTACGGTGCTGGTTACCATGCGTTGCCACCTAGGTATCCAACTCCAATGGCGCCATACAATTACACGGGGAGACGATATGGCTATCACGGCCATCGGCCACCCATTTATGCCACGTTGCCACTTCAGCCAGCGCTCCCTCCTCCTGCTCCGATTCATGCCAGGTTGCCGCTGCAGCAAACACTCCCCCCTCCTCCACCACCTCGGCCACAAATTCCCATGTCAAATCTCCATGCTGTTTACGGCGGGCAAAAAGATGTGCCATCAGGCAACTCCATCTATCATGCTTTCAGCGATGATAACGCTGCAGCTTGCAGCATAATGTGAGCTTGTTGCTGCATTAATGTGATTATATATTGAAATAACGCCCATTATTTAACCAAATCGTGTACCCTTGTAGCACCGTTATTGATGAATCCCACCGCCAAGTATTATTGAAATAACGTCCATTGTTGACCGTACATGTAATATCTTTTTTCATTTTCCATAAAAACATTTTCATCATTTTATGTGGGCTAGAAGCTAAGCTCCGTATCGAGATTCATGACTGTATCCACTAATTAAAATCATGATGGCGGACACTGCTTATATCTTTGCTCTTGCTGATTAGTTTTTTCTTCTTTCTTCCTGGCAATTCGTGGACAAATAGAAATTGAAAAATATATAAAAAAAAAAATCTTGTTGCAATCAGAGTTTGGTATGACAAACTCGAGATAAAAAAAAATAATAATAACAAAACAATTAAAAAATAGAGAGTAAATTTGATATAAAATTACAAAATAATAAAATTATATAAAAAACTCTAAATCAATCTAAACTAGCATAATATATGTGTGACCCGAACGGTTATAGAAAGCAAAACAGGAGTATAAAAATATTTAATATTTAATATTTAAAGCAGGGTTCAGCTCAGATGATGCCCGCCATAATTAACAGTCACCAGTTACTATTGTTACAGTCCAAACCAAGCCTGATTTGTTCTCCCTTGCAGGTTGGGATGGCAGTTAATGGTGACATTGCAAGCAGCCAGCTTGTAAACGAATCACCATTTGAATCTTGAATCGATCAAATCAAAAGGTTTTGGAGACCAAAACAAATAGTCAGCAATTTGCTTGCAAACAAATCAAAGAAACTCAACTATCTGAAATGGGTTATACAAACAGCCTTTGGAGAGGAGGGAGAAAGACGAGGAGGAAACTCGGTATTTTGTTTCACAAGCACACCACACGAAAATTTAACCTTAGAAATGGTCGCGCTTCTTCACACTAGGTCTGAATGAATTTTAGCAAAAAGCTTGGCAAATGCAGCGGCAAGCAATATGCTCACGCAAACAAAATAAAGTAGGGGCCACATAATCCAATATGTATCAAGTTATTAGTTTCATGAGCTTGAGCTATGAATTGTAGTTATCAAGGCCCAAGTCCCTCAAAGCATCAGTGGCAGCATCCTTGCAGGTTTCGTGGTTTGCCTTTGCCCTTCTTATAATTTTCTCGATGCCATGACTAAGAAGAAGAGTTCTGTAAAGTGGCAAAAACTTAATCAAATGTGAGACGGTGCCACAATTTAGTATAGTAGTCCTACATTTGGGGCTATGCCAGAGAAGCAGCATGAAAAAAGAAAAGGAAATTAAAGCCTGCCTGATGATGTGCCACGAGACAAAAAGATAGTGTGGAGAAAAAGACTTGCCTGTTCTCTGGGTTCCTCGCAACAAGATTACGTATCATTAGACAGGAACTCCTCTGTAATTGTTGCACATTAGAAAACTTCTCCATGGCTTGGATGGCAAGGTCTCCAGCTCCAGCTTCCATAGCACGGGCTGCAGTATCTGGAGATCTTAAACAGAGCACCGTAAAGATGGACATGACCTGAAAATAGTGGAAATTTAATTAAAGAAAGCAAGACAGCTCATAAATGCAAATAACCGTATCATAACCACAATGGCATGTAAAATTTCAAGGTGTCAATCCTTGAAATGCAGCTTGCAGTGAGCATTTCTTGGAACTTGAAATGAACCAAACCTTCCATGTGAACAGAAAAATATTCTATTTCTGGATTAATGGTTATGCACATTCAATAGTATACAAAATCACTTCTTACCTCTTGCAGAACAGAAGGGTCATCAGAAAATCTGGCTGAGAGTTGGATTAACTTATTCATACCCTCCTTCTCTACAATTGCACTTTTATTTGAGTCACTTCCTGCCAACTAATCAAATAAAATTCTGTAAAAAAATCCAAAACCATAAACTATGAGCCAGAATCTCCTTGTACCTTGGATAACAAAGAACAGCAAGCTCTAGCTACAATTTTGTTGCCACGTTCACCACTGTCATCAATACATTTGAAAATGACATCAATGCCACCACTTTCAGCAATGGATTTACATATTTCATCCTGCAAATCAGAAGAAAATGAGGAAGAAAAAACTCAGACTTCAACAAAGAAAGACCGTATTTCATATCCAGCATGCAACATCATAGTACTCTTACGTCCAAGACTCTACAATTTAGGAAGTTCCTGAACATCTAATAGAGAGTATGGCTAGACAGATATAGTGGACGAAATAGATTCATGTAACCCAAACATGATGGGCATGTGGTGCATGAATAAAAGGTGATTTTCCGACAACTTAAGTTCAAGCACAATATAATCACAATTCACAACGGCAATACATTTAAACCGCAAAAATCAAATGATTAAGGCAACAGGGTTTTGACATCACATCAGATGCAAGTGAGCTTACATTAACAGCAACAGCCTTTAAAGCGATACTTGCTGAAACTAAACTGGGTGAGGTAAGCCCTGACCGTAGTGATTCCACAAGAGCTCTTGCAATACCAATTTTGGCAAATCTTCGTGCATAACCATAAACCTGGAGTTTAAATGCATGTCAGTTGCTTTGGTAAAGACATTTTCCATCAACATGTACATAAATATTTGGATGCGAAACCATGCATTGCTGACAACACAACCTTAGTGCCCATCCTCGCAACGCACATGCAAGTTGATTGATTAAACTGAGATTTGTGATGAAATATTTACTCACTTGGGATGCCACAACACGATTATCATCAGGTGTCAAAAGAACACGTATAGAATCATATAAACCTTGGATGTTGCCTTCACTCTGTCTATTCAGTACTTCCAAAATAAGCTCATCGATTTTCAATTCAATCAACAACTCTTTCACGACCTCATTGCCAGTTGCTGCTGCGGCAACAACAGCAAACCCAGTATTCAATACTTCTAAACTTTCACTTCCATCCTTTAAAATGCCAACCACCATCTTCGGTCCATCACTAGACCGAAACATTTCAGTACTTTGAACATCTGCAAATTACAAGGACACAAACATTAGAAAAACCCACCAAAAACAAATAAATATAGGATCAAGTCATGATCTTTTTCCTCTGAAAGTAAACATTGAAGATTCAATGAAACTAAAACTATATAGCAGAAATATAAACAAAACAAAATTCCCTTTCGGAAAAAAAATATTTTCTCATAAATTCACACTCCAAATTCTAAATCCATAAACCAACCATCTAAAAGAACAAAAAGCATTATCCTGTACAGATAAAAGCACTTACCATGAATTAACAATGCCAACGTTTTCAAAGCCGAAACGAGAACTTTCTCAGACACAAGAGGAATGCTAGAACAAATAGAACAGACCAACTCCAGCCCACCATTTCTAACACCAATTGCAACATTCCCAGATCCTTCGACACCAGTAAACAATCCAACCAACTCATCAAGCAACCCAACCATTTCATCCAAATCATCATCATCAAATCCCAGTTCCTTCAATCTCTCCAAACACTTAATCACTGGATTCTCCCTCACATTCCCCTCTCCTGGCACACAAGTCACAATACCTGAAACAAACCCATGATTTTGTTAATATTTGTTCTTCAAAGGGATAAAGAGGGAAATGTGGAAATGGGGTTCTTGATCCAGTTGTTACCTGAGAGATCAACGCCTTGAAGAGTAAGAGTTTGGATTGCATCTTCAAGGGCTTCAGTGGGATCTAAACCTAGATCTTCTATGTTCTCTTTTACAAGTTCATCAAAAGCTTCTTGTGAGATCGTACGGACATTCTTGCTTGGTGGCCCCATAAACGTTTCTTCTTCTTCAATTTTGTGTGGGTGAGGGAGGTACGGGTCAGTGAGGTCCGGAGCCAAAGGCAGTGTGCTTGCTCCTTGCAGTTGCAGGCTGGTTTTTTTTTAATAATTAACTTGCTGTTGTATTAAGCTTACGACTTGTAGTCTTGTGAATGATAATTTGTCTACGAGAATGAGTTGGCGGCATGTCGTTAGTTTTATCTTCTTCTTTTTTCTTATCTATTTTCAGGTGAAATTTAAAAATTAATTAATAAAACACCACTATCTACTCTAGAAAACATCGTAAACTTCAAGAAACCATGATCGATGAAACCATAAAGATTTTAAAATAAACCGAACTTCAAGATAATTTAATGGAGAATACAAGGATAGAACCCATTCTACAAATCAACTTGATCCAGTACTAATGAACTTGAAGTCGAAAGCTTTACATAAGATAGCTGCTCTGCTCAAAATACTAATTATGTTAGTTCTTATAATTCACGAGTGTCGTAAAATTTATGTGGAAACTATTTTCTACCACTTCTGTCTGATGTTCTATTGTTAAAGACCATCGTTCTAAAAGGATAAACAGTTTCAAGAGTCTCCAGATACTGACAATATCCTATACAGGATAGAATTTTTCATGATTTGAAGTACTGAGTGCTAGGCCAACAGATGCATGTCTGCCCTGTACTTACAGTAATTAACTTAACAGAATAGTAATGTTGCCACTGATTTGAAAACAGTTAGGGTAGCTAAGTCCGCATCGATGAGCTATTAGCAATTCCTAGGGTTTCATGCCCTCCATTGGAAAAATGTCACTACATCGGATCTCCACATGAGAACCCACGTTATAGATCCCTATAGGCTATACCCTAATCCACCAGCAAGAATCCATTTAGTGTCAGCAACTACACAATGACTCGGGATGTACATGCTTAGAATCTTGAGCCTTGGTAGGTTCTCTACATTCCCATCATCTCTCAGATCTCGCAAACATCCTTTGCTGGGAAACTTTTGTCCTCGTGAGCTCTTCTGATTCAGAAAAGTTAATCTAGTCCATGGAACATAAAATTTACTCAACTTAGACGATAGAATCCAGCACAAATCTTGACCAGGCTATTTACTGTGAAATGCTCTAAATTAAGTGCGTGCAGCTTCTTATCAAATGCTAGTTCATCAATTCCTGCATATTTCCAAAGGTTCTATTTTTCTAACAACTTTAAACTCTTACGCATAGTAATTAACCTGTCTACTGTAGATTTCCAATTTCAGAACCCAAAATGGAATGAGAAAAACGTAGTCAGAAAAAAATTCCACAAAACACACTTCCTTTCAGTTGTTGACAGAATATGTCAAAATTCATGAATAGCAACTGCTGAAACCTGGAAAAGAGCAGAAAAAAGTATTAAACTACTCATTACCTGCCATTAGCACACATGTTCTAGGAACACTTTCAATCCTGATTACACTACTGGACAGCAGATCTTCTTCTTTATTTCTTAATAC